GGGTGTAGGTTTATGGAAACCACAGGATGGTACTATTTTAAGAGGATTCAAAGTCCAACAGTGCCACATACTGTTGAGAAGTCCAAACAGGGCTGATGATTTCTTTGGAGTTTGTGATTTGCATGCCATTGTTGAACTTGGCAAGAGCAATTAGCAGTTTGTGGTGAGGTCAGAAGTGGGATTGCAGGGAATTAAGTAGTAAGGGGAAGTGAATAAAAGGAGAGAAAATACAATAGCTCATTCACTCCTACATGTTTTGAGAGCTGGCAGCTAGTATGGAGACCTTCACAAGAAGGTACTAAGGCAAATGTACACTGAAGTGTATTTTGGAACATACTTTTTTGTGTGGATTCTTCCTACTCCTCTAACCACTCAAGAAAATTTATCTGACCAGAGCTCTATTTCCCTGGGTACTCGATAGGTGACTCTACAGAAAATAAGAAAAATTAAATTTTCTTGTGGTATTAGTATTTGAGAAAGAATTGAATAATTCTTTCTTTCAAAAACTTTTGCATATTACTTGAAGGATTGAGCAATGTGGGCAGGAGGCATTTGTGATAGGGTCAGTAAAGGGTGACTATTTTAGTTGTGAATGCTTGTCTTATCACATCATGTGAATAGGTACACATTCAATTAAAGCAGGAATGGCAAATAGCTAGCATGCATGCTGCTACTCCCTTTATTAATTCATGACAGAGATGCTTGGGTTTGCCACAGCATCCTTTATGTTATAGCATTCCAGGCAGACAAAAGCCCAAAGCCATTTTTGATGTTGTTTATAGTATTCTAATCTTGTATGCGTATGTCCAGGACCACAGCACTGCACAACTCCAGGGGGCATTGTTTACATAGACTGCATTGTGAATGGTCTCCACTGGATTTACACAACAGGACAGCCCTGTTACTGTACCTCCACCCAAATCTCTCTCCACTCTTTCCTTCTTTTCTTACCAATAATTAAATATGGTTATTTACATTAGTAGGTAAATAGATCATATCTGACATGTTTTGTTTTTGTTTTGGCATTGTTTTTTAAACTGCTCATGATACTATTTTTATAACATAGCAATGAATTCTGTAGAAGTTTCATTCATTATCCATGCATTGAACAAAAGTCAAATGGGCCAAATTGCATCAAAGCTTCCATATGTTTTTAGATATTTCCACTCACCTCAGTTTGACAACATGAGCTCTGATGAACTGATTTCTTAAATTTGATTCTTTGAATGTTGTAGTAATCTGTAGAAAGAAAGGGGAGCAAAAAAATAGCTGTCATTCCAGTTCTTTCTCTCTTAGTCCTTGCTCCCAACCTTGCAACATGGGATTTATATTAATGAGAAATAGGGACTTGAGTTATTAGTTCAGCTCAGTTTAGTTCAATTCTATTTCAGAACCCATGGATTGATTTAGGCAGGTTATATAAACTTTTGATGCAGGCCCACTTCTTCATTTATTACACAAAGGTGATAGTGGACAGGATGTGTCTTCACTAGAAGCCATTCTGAACACACTAGATGTTTTATTCAATGAGAGCCTGTGTTATGTGATTTGGTGGCTGTTCCTAGGGGGTTGGGGCTGGAACCAAGCCAATATTAGGGAAGTCCACTGACACAACTTACATTGTGTAATCCTTTAACAACTGTTTTTAAAAGGGTAAAAAAATAGGTATCAATGGAAATCTTGAAGAGATGGGGGTGGAGTGTGGGGGGGGGGGAAGCAAAGGGTGATCTTTTCCTTGCTATTTCTGATTAATGCCTAAGCATCAGAGGCTATTTTTAACATCAGTTGGTAATTTCCCGACCTCCTGTTAGCTGTCTCCCTGAATCATTGCTCAGTCCCAGCAAGGAAACCCTCTTGAGGTACAAAGTTTAGCTTTACAGTGAACTAGGAGTGGTGCTAAGACTTGGACAGTTCCCCCAGATGCAGGGTCAAATGTAGTAAGGTTTCATAACTGAGAGTGGATTCCATTTGTACTGTGAGGTTGCACCAAAGTGGAGGTAGACGTGAAAAGATGAAGGTAGGGAAAGTAAGTAGCATGCTGAATGTTACAGTAGTAAGCCAAGTTCTGAAGCCAGTTCTTGAAATTGTAAAGTTTATGCAATCTCTGTTACACCATATTGTATCTTATTTTGTCAATATCCATTCCTATAGGCAGATGTCAGACCACCCAGCTGTATATAAATTTTGGTTGAAGTCATGGTCATGGATGAGATCATCAGGAAATAGAAAACTGTGTGAGAGAAGAGGAGGGTGTAGGCCAAAGCCTTGGGAATTTCAACATTAAATGGCCATGTAGAGGAGGGTAAACCTATAAAGGACACAGAGGAGGTGCCAGAGAGGCAGGAAAAGAAAAACAGGTGAATGGGTGTCATGAATAACTCTCATGGAAATCACAAAATCATAGACATTTGCGTTAGAAAGTACTATAAAAATTATCTAGCCCAACAATTTTATTTAACTGATGAGTAAACTGAGAACCAGAAAAGGGAAGTGAATTGCATAATATAATGGAAGGTTCTAGCACTAGTTCATTGCTTATTAAGTATAACAGTGTTGTCTGTGGGATAAAGATAATGATGGTGCTGATGTTACCAATTGGGAAATTACATGTGGTCAGGAGATCTTGGTTTGAATTGTGGTTCTACTACTTTCCAGTTGGATGGCCTTTGATGCTTTTTAATCTCACAACCTTTGCTTACCTGTCTATAAAAATGATTTATTAATTCATATGGCTGTTTTGAGTTTAAGGTTAGATAATATATGTCAAAGTGCTATGTAACCTATAAAGCACTATTTGAGAGCATTATTCATATCTTTTAAATGTTTTATGTGTTTTTACTGAAGGATAAATATATAAGATTACAAAACTCATATGTCATAAGAATTTCAAGGGAGATCTTGTTTAAATAGATTCTAAAGCCATAGTACTCTAAATAGTTTGGAACTGGTGCAGGCAAGATTAATCAGGGGAGAAGAGTAGAGAACAGAAAAAAGAAAAGGAAGAATTTAGTGAATGATAATGGTAGTGTGACAAATAATTGCACTATTTAACACATAATTTTGGTACCACCACCTAGCTATTTCTTGGGAAAGAGGTGGATCTCTACTTTATTATAAAATAAACTCCAGATGAATCAAAGATAAAATTACAAAAACTGAAATAAAAAAATACAAAAAAGAATATGTAAGTAAACATGCTAGAATATTTGGAGTGGAGAAAGACATTTTTAACCTGGCACAAAAGTAAGAAATCATAAAAAAGAATGATAATTTTGGCTACATAAAATGTTGAATCTATTGGGTATAAAAACCCTACATTATAAACAAGGCTGAAAAATCAAATCCCATATCAGATAAATAAATGCAAATGAATGATAGGTAAATTTTAATACTCTAATAAGGAAAGTTTTTTTCCCAAGGTTATATAAAAAAGACAAATGTTTCATTCAATAAGAAAATGGGCAAGGTCATGACTAGGATATTAAAAAATAAAATAATAAAAATGACCAATTAATATATGAAGGAAAATTAAATCATATTAGTAATCTCAAAAATCCAAATCAAATAATGAGATATGACTTTTTATATTGGCAGCAGTTAAAAAGATTTACAATGCCTAGGGTTAATGCTGTAGGGAAATAAGCACACTTATGTGTACTTATATACTACTGGTGAGAATGTAAACTGGGGCCCTTCTGGAGTACAATCTAGAAATTAGTATAAATGTTTAAAAATGCATAGATCACACTCGATATAAAAAAGGGCTAGAATAAACAAATACATGGGAAAAGAGGCAAATAGAAGAATCTTAAATATTCTTCAAATATGCAAAGCTTAACTCTCCACTCTGTTATTCTTAATGTGTGGCCCACACATAGTGTCTTTCTTCAGAAGAGTATAGTGTGGAAAAGGGAGGGAGTAACTTTAGTGTAGAGACCTGACAAATACTACTTCAACCAGGTGACCAAGGTCAACAGTGAGAAGTCATGTTGATAATATGCACCCCCTTCATATGATGCAATGAAAATGACACTTCCCTCTGTGGTCTTCATCCCTCAAACCCACAACCCTAGTTTAACCATGAGAAAAACATCAGAAAAAAACCAATTGTAGGACATTCTATAAAATACCTGGTCAGTACTCCTCAAAGCTGTCAATGTGATCAAAACCAAGGAAAATCTGAGGAATTGTCATAGTTTTCAAGAGCATAAGGAGACATAACTAAATATAATGTGGTATTCTGGGTGGGATTGGGGAATACACAGAAAAGTACATTAAGTAAAACTGAAGGAAATTGAATAAAATGAGGAATTTGGTTAATAACAATGTGTCAACATTGGTTCATTAATTGTGACAAATACACTATTGTATGTAAGATGTTAATAATAGAGGAAGCTGGGCATAATGCATATGACAACCCCATATTATCTTTACAACTTTTCTGTAAACCTAAAATGCTTCTAAAACAAAATCTTCAATAAAAAACAAAACATTTAAAAATATCTAGAAAAAAATTTTAAAATGCATAGGTCCCATACTCTATTAACTCTATTCCTGGGACTATATTCCAAAAATATAATCATGCAAATGTGCAAGGATGTGTAAACAAGGGTGGTTATCAGAATGAATGTTGAATATAATAGTGAAAAACTGGGAACAGTTTAAAACTCTGTCAATAAATGGCTGGTTATATAAAATATTGCATATCTACACACTATAATACTGCTTAGTTTTTAAAAATGATATTTTTCTAAATGTGTTGATATTTCACTCTATATTGTATTTTTGAGAGAAAAGTAGACAAACTAGCATATATAGTGTGATTCCATTGACAGATAATTGTGTGTGGGCACGTATGATGTATGCATTTTGTATAGAGAGGTACCTGGAACATCAAAATATTAGTAGTGGATATAGCTAAGTGTTGAGATTTTATGCATATTTCTTTCTTTTTTATATTTCTTGAATACCCTGAATTTTCTACATGTTTGTATATTATAATAAGAGACAATTCTAAAAATAGTTTGATTTTGATAACAAGGTTTATACATGCATTACAATTTACCTTAAAGAACATTTTTGAGAATAAGAATAATAAACTTGAATTAGGGAATATTAATAGTTCTTTTATATTTAATATTTTTTTAATTTAATAATTTTTGTCCTTGGGGAGTGTGTTCGAAAGACTTATTGAATACCTTCCAAATGCACTGGTAGTGCTTTTATAAAGAAATTGATTTAGTTCCTACTTTTCAAATTGTTGAATGTACATTATGATTTATTATGCCATTTCTCTTCAAATTAGCCTTTTGCAATTTTACATATGCTCTACTAAGGGTGAACTGAGCTAACATACCTGATCTGTCTGACAGGGAGTGAGTGACCCCCTGAGGGCTGAGGACATTTCTTGCATCTTACTGTAATGGCAAAGGACTGGGTTCTATGACCGATAATGAAGCTAGGAGTCTACTCAAAACCCACCCTTTCAGTTTGCTCCCTTTTATTAAGCTGGGTACACAGCTAAAACATTTCAAGACATCTTTGTGTGGATGTGAAAGCTTCATTTTGAGTAACTGTCCTCAGAATGGCCTCCTGAGTTGTATATCTGTAGTAGCTTCTTCAAGAAATTCAAGAATGTCCATTGGCTTGAAGTCCAAACAATGGAATCTCATGATACAAATGATATAACTAAATATTTCTGTTGCTTTCTCATAACAGGTTGGGAGGAGAAAGTAGTAAGTTGGGGAGGAATGTTGCTTTGGTGAACCTAAGATAGAAGTTTTTTCAGCATTTCCATATTTTCCATAATATTCCCTAATTCAAGCTCTTAGCTTTTCTGGGCCACCATAGTGAGCTTTTAAATAATCTTAGTATGCAGGCTCTTCTCTTTGTAATCTAACTTTTACATTTCTGAACACAAATCTGTTGGCTCCTGTTCCCATAATGTTGCCTCCAGCTCAAGATTTTTGCCTAGAAAATAAAGTCCAAAGTTCTTAGCTACGCACCTTCTCCCCTCTATGCCTTCGCTTATGTTTTGGCTGTGGTGGGACTTACTCATCTTTATAGTCAACCTAAGAAGTCATCTTTATAAGAAGCCACCTCTGCTCAACATGATTGAATGTAATTCATCCTCTCACCACAAACTCATGTTTGCCTTGCTCCCATGTCATGTCCCCATTATACATCTTGTATTGTAAGTATTTTTAGGTTTGTTTAATCTTTTGTGTTAGACTCAGCTCCACAGCAGTGGGATTCACCTTCTGTTTTTGTATGTTCACAACATTTTTTAGGATTGATGTTTAATAAATGTTTATTATAGGAACAGGAGGCTCCCACTATTGACATAATCAAATGATGTTCCTCAATGTTAATCCTATATCTAATTCCTGGCGTAGATTCTCTTCCCAAATTATTCTAATTTAGATGTTTATTCTGATCTCATTAAACACTGAAGTGATATACCTAACTTCCCTTGCTCTAATTCCATGCTTACCCAGCAGTTGTCTCATAACTTGACTCCCAGTGAAGTTTGCCTCTCTGGGAAAAATGTGTTAGACAAGCAGGTGATTCAGTGCCCAGCTATGATAGTTTTCATTATGGATTTACTCAGTGGTTCCCAAAGTGTTGTCCTTGGACCATTCGCATCAGCATCTCCTGGGAACTTGTTAGAAATGCAAATTCTTGGGCCACCTCCAGACCTACTGAATCAGAAACTCTGACATTGTGGCACAGAAATCTGTGTTTTAATAATCCTGCAAGTGGTCCTGTTATGTGCTAAAGTTTTAGATCCATTGGATTAATTTATATTCTTAGGACCCTTTAAAAAGGTAAGGGTAAGTAAGCAGCCCTGAGACTGGTCAGCTCTGACTCTGCAGGGCTGAAGGCCAGCCCTTGGTCTGCAGTGATAAACACACGCGAAGGGGTCTGCTTGTGCGGTTTTCTGGTGGGCAGCCTGTGGGCCTCTTTAAGTGACAGGCCACGCTTGCTTTGTGTAGTTTGTGTGTCTGTCATTGAGCCAAAGGGTGGTGTTGACCCAACTATGTTATTATTGATACGCAAACATGTCTTTTAACACCTACTACCTGTGTATTTGTTTAGTTGGATCAGAAAAAACACACAACTAAGGCCAAATGAAAAGGGTTTCAAAGGCAGCCTCAGGAGGCGTAATGCATGCCCATCTCACACAGACAGCAGACTGCCCATCCTTGAGGTTAATTTGGTCATGACCCTCCTAACACTTTCAGATTAGCTTGGAAAAAGCAGGAAGAAATACATCGTTCACCCTTCCAGAGAGAAAAAATGTAGAGCATCTAGCAGTGGCAAATGTATCACAAAATCATAGGTTTATTTTCATTTTTATGATGGAATAAGAACAAAGACAGGTATTAACTTACCACAGATTCAATTCTTCCACTCAAAGTTCTATACTCCTGTGTAGCGGGTGAGTTTAAGTGATCACTATATTGAACATTTGGGATTTGAAAGCTGCTAGAGTAAAAGTAAGATTTTTTATCTGTAAAACAAAGGAAAAGCATAATCAGTCTCACATTACTAAGTACTTTAATCTTTACTTTATTCAGGATTAGGGGGGCCTATATTACATAATTAAAAAATGTTTGCCACCCTTAAAAGACAAAATACTCTAAACTTAATATAAATGTATCTATAATAAAATTATTTTTCCTTTGGTTTTAAAAGAGATTGGCAAAGCTGGGTCTGTGACAGATGTATGAAAATCAGAACAGCATTATTTGATAAATTAAATTATTCAGAAGTATTATAATTTTCATTCTAACTATATTTTGGGAAGACTTATAATTGCAGATTTATTCATTCAAAAATATTAATGGATGTCTGTAATATGCTGTTATTCATTTATGCTGTTATTAGAAATAAGCTAAAGTAATTCTGAATAGTTTTAAAAATTATTTCAAATAATATTCTTTTCAGAGTAATTAGTGACTTGCCATTACTTTTCTGGGCTAAGCTAGAAAATAAGCCTTCTCACAATATCTAATCTGGTGGTTCAATGTGAGTTATTTCCATCAAAAAGTGTCTTCCAGGGGACATATTCAGCTTTCTGAAGGAAATAAAAATCCCTAAAACATACTGAACATATCTTAGAAACATTATGAATATGAAACAACTAATGCGTCTCAGGAAAATAATCCCTTCTTCCTTTTGAATATATATATATGACTTATGCTGAGAAATATCTCAACGGTAGGAAAGAGTTGGGGATCTTCGGGTAGGGTAGTGTAGTCCTTTGTGGTAGAGGGACAAGTCTTTCTAGGACCATAAGTGGTCAGCGGGACACACTTGGAAGAAGACTTGCCGAGGCTCATCCCTTTGTGCTTATGTGTGACGATTCAGTGCCATTGAGAGTGAAAGCGCATTAGTTTAATCTGAAACTTGATACTGCTTTTGCCTACCTTGTAACTCACCTTATACATGTTTGGCCTCAGGCGATGCGATAGCAAAATGTAGCCAAAAGCAAAATTTAGCCACAACTTTGTAATTAGATTAGCTGAAAGATGATTCCTAGTTATTTGGTTTTTCTAATATTGGTAATTGTATTGCACCATTGGGAGTTTTTCAATGCATAATTAAGCATTTTTGCTAATTTGCAATAGCACATACAATAAATTATGTTCTCTCTAACTTCCCACACTCACACATCCCCACACACATTTTAAAGGATTTAACAGAATTATAGCTGAAATAAAAAAATAATCTCAAAGGGTATTTTGAAGTGAAAACAGATTATAGCATGTATTAACCAGTGAATTTGACACATTTTATTTATCTACATGAAAACATCTGAAAGAATATTCACTGAGATATTAAGGTAAGTTGTTTATAAGTGAGCAGGGTATATGTATTCTTTATATTATTTGTTTCTTGCCCATGTTTCCTATATTTTTGTGATGTAATAATGAAAAAATTAAAATACGGCAAATAATAAAAGAGCATAGTTCTTTTTAAAGTTTGTTTTTATCCCCCCCCCTTTTTTTTTACTTAATTGCAAATTCATCTCCTATTATAACTGTTCTGCTACTAGGACTGTGTTTTCAGGAGACATTATGAATTAACAAACACTGTTACATCCAAATTTTAGGGATGAAACTTAAGTTTCTTTACAATATTTCATTTTAACAATTTTATCAAATTTTATTAAATGAAAAAGGAAATCATGGTATTAATGAAAAAACAAAATAGGCAAATTCTAGTATCAGAAAAGCATTAAGAGATTTTTTTTTTCCCTTTGGCCAGAATACTTTTGCCTGGGTAATAATGTTTGTTATATATATAGATTGAGGAAAAATATGGAAACAAACACATATTTAGGAATATGTAAGTAAGAAATATAATTATTTTATATTAAGAAATAAAAGTGGCAATTAAAGAGTGGCAAACTTTTAAAAAATATTAGTTTCAGATGTAAAGCGTAGTGGTTAGACAATTATATAATTTATAAAGTGTTCCCCCTGATAATTCAAGTACCCACCTGGCACCACGCATAGTTACTACAATATATTGACTACATTCCCCATGACTGTTTTGTGACTACCGATTTGTACTTCTTAATCTCTTCACCTTTTTTCCCCCAGTTCCCCAACCTCCCTCCCATCTGGCAGCCATCAGTTTTCTCTCTGTATCCTTGAGTCTGTTTCTGTTTTGTTTGTTCATTTATTTTGTTCTTTAGATCCCACATTTAAGTGAAATCACATGTTATTTGTCTTTCTCTAACTCATTTCACCTAGCATAATTCCTTCTAGGTGCCCCCATTTTGTCTCAAGTGGTAAGATTTTAAAGAAAGCCTAACTTTTAATCTGAAAGTGTATTTAGTTATTTAGACTGAAAAGTGGCACTTTTCATTTTCTGGTACTTACCAAAAGCTAAAAAGTGGATCAGTAGAGCTATCGTCACTGCCAGGATTAACACCCCTGCAACAACACCAAAAAACACTACATAGGGGTTCAGGAATCTTGAGGTCGATGGCACCCGGGCTGGCCTTTGAACAAGAGAAAAACGTTAAAGGCTACTCATTTCACTCAGAGAAGCTATTGTTTTCCTGCTCGTGATCATTTTCTGCCTTCTCGGGTCTCTTAGCTTGCACATGGTTCTATTTATGGAAAACCAAGTGATTCTTGATGGGAGTTGAGTCCTGGAAATAAACCTGACCTGGACGACATTCTCCTTAATGGTTTTTCTTTCTAAAAATTTTCAGCATTTTGTTGACACTGAGGTAGTCTGATAGAAGAATAAGGAAACCTGACCTTTTGTCAGTTGATGCCAGTTGCTGAAATTCTCACGCGTAGTAACCAGTTGCTCCCTGTTTTGCTATAACTTCTTCCACGACCCTACGTGGGATACTTACTGTAGAAAGCTCTCTCACCTGGGCACCGCCAGGACTGTACAGAGGGGAGGTCATTTTGAGTGGGGAGAGGGGGAGAGGGAGTCAGAACAGGAGCATTTTTCACTGTAATATTATCCATATTGTAAAAATGGGGATGTGGCCAGAGGCTGAGAACTGAGGTCCAAGAGAGCAGCGAGCCCCTGAAATGAATTGGAAGTGTACGAGCAGCAGAGGATTTGTGTGATTTATTATATTACCTTATGCATTTGTCAACTGCAGTGTAATCTAATAGATTGGTATTAAGACAGTATCTGGAATATTGTATTAGGCACATGGCCCATTTGCTGTCTTTTACGCTGCCTCCCTGCTACCACACACACTCTCCTACTGGAGAGGTCGTCAGAAGAGCCGAGTGTGAATTCCTGTTTTATCCCTTGTTTGATTGGAGGTCATATTGTCGTTTATCTGAGAGTTTCTTTATTTTAAAAATGGGAATAATATACCGGCTTCACCAGGCTGTTTTGAAGATCGATGAGGTTATGTGAGATGCTATAAGTTATATTTCTAGTTAAATAGGTTATCCACTAGGCTGGGAGCCCTTGAGAATGCTTATGTTTCTGACACTTTGTAGGGTGCCTGGCATACATAAGTGGTTCATAAATATTTTTTATATTTATAAATATTTTCTGTATGTGTTAACTCCTGGCTATGTTTAAGACTTTAAGGTCTTAGCAGAGCTGAAAAGCAGTTACATTTCACCAGAATATAGACTGACTTTCATTTTTTCTGTCTGTTTTGCAAACATCCTGGTGTAGGTGTGAAGGGAGTGCTCTGAGGTCAGTGATTCCCAGACATTTAGGTTTCACAGCAGGGTTGCCTGGTGGTGTCTGGGCTCTACCCAACTCACGGACTTATGGAAGGGCACCTCCTGGTATTTTGCAATGTACCCCTATACACTGTATGCTGTGGCTCTGGGATCAGTAACATGTCAGAAGATTATTGGAGGTGGACATAGAATTGCCAACTTTCAATTTTGTTGAATAAGCACATTAAAAATGGATCATGAGCAAACATTGTCATTTAACAAAAGGGCATTTAAATATATAAAAGTAGGAAGTACATAACCTCAGAGTAATAAAAAAAGATGAATAACTTAGCTTTAGCTTTATGATGTATTTTTACACCATTCTCCTATTTGTTCATTTTGTTCATTACTAGCAGAAACTGATGTCCACTGACACTGGTCCAGAGTCTCATGTTTAGGAACCACTAGTGGTAATCTTTAAGTTGGAGAAAATCGGCACTTTGACATTTGTTGACTTTTGATTCTCTGTACTCCTTTCACCTTATAGGGTTGTTGTGCCAATGACAAGCGATCACAAATGCACATGGTGTTTGGCATTTGTGAGTTCAGTGGGTGTTAGTGGCTTCCGGGGAGTGGGAGAGGCAAAAGGAGACAGCATTGGAGGCAAGGCTGAATCTGAAAGCCTAAATACATTTCAAATTGATTGAGTCTTCTCCTCAACCAGGGATTGACTGTATTTCCAGAGGTGAGCATGTCAAGATTTATAAATGTGGAGAGACAACTACTGAAAAACAGAGATTAAGTTGGAGGTCCAAACCCCAGGAAACAAAAGCCAAAGGCTAGAGTCAGCATCTGCTTTAGTTTGGATGAGCCTCCCGTGGGAATGACTTTAGAGCCGACTCTGCTTCAGTTCATGGAAAACATCCTAAAAATCCAATGACTGAAAAGCATCATGAGACATATGACTCAGTAAACAAAGGGTGTGGAGCCCAAATTACCTTAATCTCTCAAGCCATAGTTAATTGCATAAGAATGGATTGTTCCACCCTAGAGAAACGGCTGAAAAAAATGCGATTTTTTTTACTGCAACTTGTCTCGAACCTTTGTATGTGGCTGATTATAAAGTTTATGCTAACACAAACTCAATTGTGTACAATATTTACTTTGTAAACTATTAGAGAAAATATGTTTGAGACACTGTCTGAATTTTGACTCACAATGCAATGGAAATCTGTGCATGAAAAGACTTTGCTGTTATAGCAGGGTCCTGGTTAGTGAGATTTTAATGCTTATATTTAAACAGAAAAACAAATATTCAGTTGTGACATGTTTCACCAGCTTTCCTCTCTTTCTCTGTTTCATTGACTTGGAAAAGTTACATGAATGTTGGAAAACTTATTCTATACTCTTGAGAGAGGAAATGTCAAGAATTGTATGCCTACATTGCAGGTCTTCATGACGGTCGTGTAAAGTAGGCTTTAGGATCTCTGTTTTGAAGACAGGCTTAGAGAGTAGATAACTCCTAATTACCCAGGAATTACAAAGCTGGAAATGGAAACGAGGTTGGTTTGAACCAAAGAATGTGTTCTTCCTCCCTCACACTACAGAAGATGGGAAAGCTTTGGGACTAGTGTCTCTCTGGACCTTCCTTGGGGAAAGCAAAGGGAGTCAATATCCCTTAAGTGTTAAGATTTTGTCCTACACATATAAGTGTGCAATAAAATGATTGTTGATTTAATTTTAAATTTGAAAGTACACCCGACATTACTGTATCAGGGTTATGTAGGAATGTTAATTAATCTTTGCCATTGACATGTAGTTACAACCAATATACAGCTGTGGATTAAGAGAGCCATTTGGCAATTTGAGGAAAACAGCAACTGGGTAATCACAAATTTAGATACACACAGCATGTATATACAGGACTTTTAGACAATTTTATGTCTATTTAAATAAGATTTTAGGTATCCAATATATAATGTAAACACATATTCAAATATATGTGTTTGTATATCCTGTAATATAGGGTCTGTACAAATATTTTTGAACTTTCCATCCTTAGTATCAACAATAATGTAGTAAATGTGATAGAAATGATTAACAATGGCATGATAATTAACAGAAAATCTCCCACCGGATGTGAACATTTGCAGTTTGAGCTTGACAGATCTGGAGTCACATTCCAGTTCTGTCACTTACTAGCTGAGTAACTAAGCCTCTATTTCATCATCTGTAAACTAGGGTAATTTACAAGGATTAAATTAAATTATGTAGAAAAACTCAACACAGTGCCAAATACATGGTATGCACTCAGTAGATTATTCTCATATCTATATTCTGTTGGTATTCAAAACAAGAATGCATGGCATACAATTGTATATAAAGTCCCTCCAAACTACAGTACAATTATTCTTAAATTCCTCTGCATTCTCATTCATAAATTTTTCCATAAAAAAGGCCCAATGTGGTATTGTGCTAAGGATGGGGCATATTCTGACAGAGAAGATGTACCTCTACTTTTCACAAGTTACAGCCTAGATGTGGGTGCAGGCAATATAATCATTGCTTATCACATGAAGGGATTTGGACTAGAATAGAGAAATTTATTGGGCATTATGAGATCAGATGAGGGGCAATAAGAGCACAAGAAGGTAACTACCTAGTAGAAAAAGAAAGATGCTTGAATTATCTTAAGAATAAAGTGAGAATTTGCTAGGTGTTTGGCTGGGAATAAGTGGGCAGGTGAGTATGTGGCAGTAAAGTTGCAGAGGTTACTGTGATGGGCTTTAAATGCCATGTGGAAAGTTTGGATGCCATCCTGAGGATCTTGAAAAGCTATAGATAAATTTCAAATGAGGCAGGGGAAGGGGAGAGTGTTAGAGCCTAAGACTTAAATTAAAAAAAAACAACAAAACCCCTTGAAAGATTTTAAAGGATTGGTTGGAAAGAAACAAAAATCTTAGATTCAGTCTAGATTCCTCATTTTTCTACATCTCATAAGTTAACCATCAGCAAATTCTCTACAGTCTAAATTCAAAATATATCCAGACTCTGACCACTTATCCCCACCTCCAATACTACCACCACTGTATAAAATTCCCTCATCTCTCACCTCCATCACTGAATGATTTCCTAAATCTACCTTTGGAATACACTACATGATTTTTTTAATTCAATGATTTACTTTCAAGTTTATTTTTTATCTTGGGTAGCATATAAAATGAGTATATATTTCCTGAGGATATAAATTACTTTATACTTCCTGAGGATACAGATGCTGGGCAAGTGATGAGGGGCCCACACTATAATGTTTTTGTGAGAATTAGGAAAAGGCAACTTCTCTGGGAGACAGACAATTATAAAAGGTTGCTCCCTGGGCTGCATCCAGCTCCACTCTGGGACAGACAACTTGGCACAGAACGTAGGCTCCAAATCTGCTTCCAGTCTTCCCCTGAGCCATCCATTTTTGTATGTTGCACAAACTATACAACTGTATATAGCAGACCTGTAATGATGTGTCGAAATTCGGTGATCTGCTACTTGTAGGGAAAGCCAATGTAGGATTCAGATTCTTCTCACAAGGTTTGCAAGTTGATATGAACAAATGGCTAGTATGTGCGCATGTATGTGCATATGTATGTATATAATGGTTAAGTTGGGAGTTAGTGATGGTTCATTAGAACCCGCTGCCAACAAAGCTAAAAGTGTGGGCTCAATTGTTTCATAAGCTGCTTAAGTGTTTCCTTTCCTGGGACTCGGGCTCTTTTTAACAGGTCTAAATCCTAGAGTCAACTGCATAAGAGGGTGTGACCACAATAGGGCAAATCTACCTTTACTGCTGGGAGAAAAAGAAATGCCTTTCTTAGTGATGCTCTAGTCATACTTTGTCCAATTTGTTCTAAACTTGAAGAAATTATTTTCATACACGAAAGTCCATGGGCATTTTTCTCCATTTTATTGTTATTATGGCATTGAAATATATTTCAAGTTGATTTATAGCAATTATTTACCTGATTTTAAAAGATTTCACT